GACTGGTGGCGTTTGCGGCTGAATGTCTCATAAAGATGTGGTCTAGGTCTAGGTCCTTTGACGGAGATCATTTCTTCACACATCCCTAGGCCCTAAGTGTCTTTTTCGCGTCAAGCTGTTTCATTTTACAGTGACACCCCTGGAGGTGTGGGACACATCCACTTTGCCATTGAAGCCTTTGTGCAGCATTCCAGATGTCACCCAGGCTCTGACCAGGCCGGCATGAGATCACCAACTGAGTCTAAGTACGTCTAAGTTATCATAAGTTATCTATAAAAACTGCCATGTAAAAACCAGAGGATAGTGACTTTGTGCTTCTTTACCATTGAGTTCTCTGAGCCACTCGTGGTTCCAGCAGCTTGATAGCACCGATCATCCCAGTGGCAGCAGGGTCCATGATCTGGATTACGATTCATCTTCCAGCACGCACGAGCACCGAGCTGGGAAAGGCATGGTTTTTGGCCCCCTTAAAAGAGCACCTCAACAAGTGGTTTCCACTGGTTTTAGCAGGTCATTGACTGCTGATTTTGCTGGTCCTCCAACTTGGAAGATACTGGCAACCCCGCGTTTATCGCAATTGATGAAGGGATTGCTGAGATTTTTTGGGTGAATCATTGCTGCCTGGGCTCAAGATTTTGCCTCCTCTCGAAGAGGTAAAACCCGTGACCCGCAAAGGGGGGAAACACTGCGTGCGGTTCACATCCAAGGCGCGGAGTGAGAGGCAGCGCAGGTTTGGAAATATGATATATATGTGCCACGTGCAACCAAGAAGGTCATTTTAATGAACAATGCTATAAGAACTGGCAATTGGTTTGTTAGAAATTGGGATGTTCATACTGTTCATTCATGGATTTCCCAGCCGCTGGCTATGTTGGTAGATGATTGCCAGGAAATATGGGCACGGACGAGGAAAAGAATCATGGCCCAAGCTTCAACTTGGACATGCTGAAAGACCCAGTGCCTTGAAGAGAGATTAAACATGATTACACCACAGTTTCTGAAGCTGTAATTATTCCTTTGATTCCATGATGTTCCATCTCTTTGTTGGAAGATCATTGCCTGATTCATTTCTTGACTGGGACCTCAATTGAATGTGATTTGGACAATTCAAGCGTCCAGCAATGAAGTGAGTCCACCAGAGGACATCAGTGAAACCGCCTGCGAACGGGGATGCTGAGGAAAAATTGAAAATGCTGGCAATGAAGTGCCTTTGATTCGGCACTTCAGAGAGCTTTTTCCGTCATCACATGTCATCACAGTCAAGAATGCACCAGGGATCACCAGGGTCACCAGCACACAGTATATAACATGTTTGATGTCAGGTATTCGCAAACTGAAGCATTCAAGCTCCTTGGCAAAAAGGAATGGGCTGATCAAAGTGACTTCACAACTTTGCTTTTGATAATACTCGTGGCAAGCTTTTTGGGCAGATGCCTGCGAAGTTGCTTATTTGAATTTTCATGTTTACTCTTCTCCTACGAGTTGTCTCTTTACATTAAATACAAAATACAATATAATACAATCACACACACACATATATATATAATATAAATATGTATATACATATGTACCAATACATAGACACACCGACGCTCAGCATTGTCAAGTCTGACCATCAGTTGACCATGTAAGTTGTCACTTGCAGCAGGTGAACTCCGGTTTCGACACCTTTTCCCATCGAATCCATCGCATCTGATAGCTCATCCAAAGCAGGTACAGGCGGGATGATTCACGCGTGCGAAGAATGCTAAGATTGCTAAGGATTTGGGGTGGTTTTGCAGTCATCGCCTTCATTGTTTTCATGCTTGTGTCCAGTGGCGATTTCTCCTTCCTTTTGCCCCTTGGCCGCATGCCATTGAGGTGCTATCCTGGCTAATGAGTTCGCTTGCGCTTCCATCTTTACCTGGGATGACAGTTCCCAATGCCAATGACAATTAGATACTAACAACTAACATCTATGAAATTATAGTATAATGTGAAGAAATATCTCCGGTGTCTCATCCATCAAGCATCATCAAGCGCTATTGATCTCACTGCCCCAGGACCCTGTCATCTTTGCTCAGTATGTGCCTTGAGAGTTTTAATGAGTCGACTGGGCAGGGTGGGATTTGCAGCCCCTGGGGCAGAGAGCAGTCCCATCATATTCCAAGCTGCACCTGAGGACTGCATAGGCTATCATAGGTTTGCATCATTAGTCTGACACATTTGGGTTCGAAATCAGATGCACGCCTTTGTTTGGTTGAAAGGGAAAAACAGTCCGATCGAGCAAACATTCTACTGCATAAAACGTTCACTTAACACTACTCCCTTTCTTTGTTTTGAGGTTGAGTTGCCGTCAATGACCATCCGGTTGGGTTGGCCGGTTGGCCTTGGGGTTTTATCAAATGCAGCGCATCCAGGTTCAGCTTTTTGATGGTGGCGCTGAAGATGGAGACGAACCGATCCTGCAAGGGAGTCTCTATGAAGATGATGGAGTTGCTTGGCGGCAACTTCAGGATGGTAGACAGGATGACCGCCCTGCTTGGGTCTAGTTTGTAATTTAGTTGTTTTCATGAGTTATACCAACCAATTGCTTGAACTATAGTTAATTAAATGGTAAAGATTGGTTAAGTATGTTCTTCAGTGATTAGATAAAAGAGTCAACAGTAATAATCTCCTACAAACCATGACGGTTTTTGGTAAGTACCCTCCATTAACTGTTTTAGGAGTCGTTGACGGGGCATACGGCGTATGCACCGAAGTCTGAGGCCCTGCCAATTGGGCTATTTTTTGATTGGTTGCTGATAATCGCATGTTGAAGCTTGCTGTTCACAGCGTCCAAGGACATCTTGAATAGCCAGCCTTTGGCCCAAAGTCAGATTTTTTGTGGGCCAGTTTACTTGGCAACAGGTGCTACCTGGTGATTTTCTTCTTTCGACTTTGTGCGATTATTCCCTTTGAGGGATACCTGCCATTTGACAAGCTGCTTGGTCCGCTGATCTGGGATAAGTGGAGCTCATCTTTGCCCCAGATCTGATGGAACTCTTTCGTAGCAACCCTCAAGAAGAATCAGACAGATAGAAAAGGAAAATCCGAGTCCAAAATAATGTCAAATTACATCAAATTACTTCTATTGTTTGGCATCTTTTGGAAGGATATAATAGCAATAATACGGTGACTATCACTTCCATTTTGTTAGCTTTATGTCTAGTAATTTTGCCAAAGGGATATGAGACTGAACAAGACCCGACATTCTCAAACTGGAATGATGCGCTACATCTGTGATGTTTGGGGCCTTTAAACCTTGTTTCAAGAAACATTGCCATACTGCCTGCACTGAGAATGTCAGATTTTTTGGATACCACCTCAAGGGCAAACTGTTTTTAATGATGTTCATGACTATCGAGCCAACAAAATATAATAGCATCTGATGGGAATATTAATCGACATATTAATGTTGCCCCAGATTTTGAACAAATCCTAAAAGTAGTTCTGCGACTAGAGGAGTTTTGGCACTGGCAAGCAACAACGGCAGAATGTCGGCGTGAGCGACGAAAGAGGTGGAGGAGAAGAAAATGATGCCTTTGGTGGTGCCCCATAGTTAGCTAAGTTGGTTTATAACTCCAATAACTTGGGATAACTTGGGTTTATGGTAGGTATTGACATGTATTGACATGGTATAGCTATACTATGCTATACTTAATGGGGGTCATTAACTGACTTACAACGGGGCACCAGCTTGAAATGACGGCACCGCCATCCTGCTGAGGTCGGGCGATTGGTTCTACCAGACCTGCGAGGTTGGCGCGGCAAGATGGATGGGAATCGGGGCCTACCATGCAGGAGCTACCTTGCTTGGGTGCAGCTCCAGTGAACTAAATGTGTATATATATGTTGTATATATGCGTGTGTTTTGTATACTGTATATATATATATTATATCCCAAGTATCCCTAAGTCATGGAGGTTAACATCCCATAGTTATTTAATGTTATTTGCCCATTAAGAACCCACAGGTTCGCAGCTAGAAAGCCTTGTTTTCAAGCAGGTCCTCGTACGCCGTCCGCAGCTAGGCCCTTGGCTTCTGCTTGGCCGGAACGTTTGGGGGCCCAGGGGTGGTATCAGCTCCGGAGCTGAGTCAGGTTCATAGTGCTTATAAGGCCATTGGCATCGAAACCAGGATTCTTTATGGATTTTCGAAGTGCAGATGATGACACTCCTCATGTTGGCAATGATGGTAAGGTGCTGTAGCTCAGGCTTTGGATAAGATAAATGTGATGACACTCTTCCACGGCTTGCATTGTGTGGGGATTTGGTTGCGGACGGCGTGAAGATGCAAAACTGACGGTTTTGTTTGTCCTTTTTCTGGGTAATAAATATTATATTTCTTTATGTATTTTTTGTTCCCCTTCCCATTCTTTCCTTATTTTCATTCAAAGAAGTCCGGGAATGTTGGGAACCGGCCGGGATGGCAGCCCCTCTGCATGGTTTCCTTAGCGCTTCCCTTTTTTCACGCGGCGTTGCAGGATCGTCTACTTCTGCCGCATCAAATATGCAGCCACCTATGACCCAGCATCTTGGTGACTAGTGATTTGCCAGGTGGTTTACCCTCTGGTAAACTAACATAAGTAAACCAACATAACTATGGAAAATCACCAAATTTTTCATGGGAAAATCCACTATTTCAATGGCCATTTTCAATAGCTATTTTGACATAACCAGAGGGTAGTGATTTGCCAGGTGGTTTTCCAAAGGATCGTATTGCTGGCGTGATCCTCCCCAGGACCTGTCCTTCAGCTGCTGCTGCTGCTGGTGTTGTTGTTGCTGTTGGCTCTCAAAATAGGGACTTTGAAACCACCATCCACCAGCGAAAAAATCATGCTTTGGTCATATATCCCCGGATCCCTAGGAAAAGTATACCACCACCCTTAGTGACTTAGTGCCATCAATGCATGTTTGGCGAGGCTCATTTAGAGTCCAGGGTGTGGATTCACAGCTTGCACCCAGCCATTGGCTCAAGTGGTGCATTGGCGCATCGGTGACCCAGTGACCCGCAGCCATCAGGTCGAATCAGCTTGCAGAAATTCAAGACGTTCTTGATGTATTAATCAAATTATGTACATCATGTAAGAGATATATGATATGCGCTACCATATGAAATATGTGATCATTAGATATAGTCATTGGACGTCATTGGATCAATATATAATATGTACCTGTAACTACATTTATTTATAAGTACTTGGGCAGATGTTTCTTCCATCATGCCACCTGCATCCTCACCAGGACCATGAAACAACAGTCACGCCGTGGTGGATTGCCACTGCTATGAGCCTTGGAGAAGCGTTGAGCCATTGAGGAATGGGATCCTTAGTTGCTGGGGTCTACTTAAGTCGTTGACAGTACTTTTGTACGTGATATCATGTATGATTACCCCCCTGGTAAACCAACATAACTATGGAAAATCACCATTGTTTAAAGGTAAATAATTTTCAACAGCTTGGCTATGTTAGCTTACCAGAGGCTATGCATGCACATATCACAAATGAATATTTTTTTTTGGGTATCGGTGTGCATTTGGATGGGAACAACACTTTTCTCCTGTAAAGATCATGCATCTTCAGCGCATCAGCGGTGTAATACAAAGTTAAAGCGCAGACTATTCACCAAATTCTGACTGGGGACAATCCTAGGATTCGGACTTTGGAACCAGGTTTCTCCAGCACGTTGTGTTCTGATGAAACATGATATACGTATACATGGGGATCGGTTGAAAAAGAGCGAGATCCGCAACCAAGACAGCAAGGGCAGGGTGACCTCAAAGCAATGGTAGAAGGCTTACCGATTTGTTGTCTGAACGCGGCTCCCGTTTGACATGTGTACATATGCGTGTGCATACAGATACAGAGGAACCACACTTTGATCATCAGATGTCAAATCTAGATAATGCTGGCAGGATAAACCTAGCGATAGATTTCAGATTGCTTTATCCCAACATTCTTTGTATTTATTTATGTCAGTTGATTCGATTTCTGGTTCAATTTTATCCACGTAGGTAAATGACCCAAAATGATCCACCACTCCTGGATTGGATTGTTTCTGATCCGAAAAGTTGACATACCATTGGTCCATGGGTCCATTTGGAGTGCCCATTTTCTTGACCCATCCCTATCTCTGGATCTATCTCTGGTAATATCCCTGAAAAGAACAACAGATCAGATTTTCCCATGAACTATCTGAAAAAAAAGGCTGGGTTTGTACCCAAGTTCTTTTTTGAAGTTCGATCCTCAGCTGATATAGCTGCTTCAATCCTATGATCTGAAAAACACAACATAGTCCATAGTTATCAGTGGCCATTTCGGGAAGCTAAATTGGAGGTACCTACCATACATTCACATATTAATATATATATATACATATTATATTTATATATATAATATACATATTATATATAATATATATATATATGTATATATATATAATAAAGTCTATGACTCAGGGCTATTTTCAGGCAACATACCCCCCATTTTCTAATAATGTTTTATGGTTTGAGATACATCCAGTCAGTATCTGGACATACCAAGGTGTGGCGGCTGTGGCCTCCCTCCACATCTGGCAGCATGGTGGCCTTGTTCCTTGCAACGTCCGGGACCATCCAGGGCCGCCCTGAGAGTTGTGACATCAACGGGAAAGCCTTAAGTTTTTGCCGAAAATCTGGAGTTTCTCGTGGAAACTATAGGAGACTGATTTTGGCAAGTTTGAGCCGTTTGAATTTGCAGTCTCCACTCTGTTTGATGGGAGTTTTACTTCATGAGCAGGGATTAACTAGGGTGACGAATTAGAGCATTAGTGGACTTTTAATGGGGACTCTGGTAGTAAGTACGACATTTCATATTGGAAGTCTCCAATGAGTTTCCTCGCATGCTTCTGTTTGAAGTATTCGCGCACACATACATTTATCCATATATATATATATGTACACATACGCATGGCATGTGTATACCTAGAATTATATAACTCCATAAAATCCCATAGACATATACAGATACATAATATAATTATGTACTATACCGCATATCAATGAGTCAATGATTAAAAACAATATATATTGCGCCGGGTCTGCGAAGACATGTGCCAAAACTCCAAGCCTCAACAGTTTCCTCCGGAAACAACTTGGCAAAGGTCATGACCATGACCTTTGGCAACAAATATCGGCTAGAAACTTGGCAAAAGTAGGCCGCTTGGCGCCGGCTGGAGGCGGAGTGCCAGGATGTGCCAGGTGCACCAAGACCTCATCGTTGTTCCGTTCGAAAGTGATGAACTTGGCTATCCTGGGTATCCCCTATTTTTGGGAGTGCACAAGCCTGCATCTTGGGTAGTTTAGTGGAATGAATTAAGTTTCACCTTCACTTAAGCTTCTGTCACTCCTGGAGCCTACATGAGACTTCCCGGAGGACTATACGTTTGGGGAAAGGTTTCAGAATAATGAATCAACCATCAACAAAAAATGCAAGCATGTTTCACCCACCCAATACCAACCGAAAGGAACCAGAATCAAGTCTTCGGATTGGAGGCGGTCGGGGTCTTCCCGCTCTGAGGACAAGAATGATCTATTGGGCTCTGGTGGTTATGGGAAGGCGCGGGGTGAAGCAAGTAGCCCCCACTGATGGCTTCGAGAAAGTCCCACTGTTTTCAATGGCTTGGGTCATGATCCCAATTTGTCGAGTTTTTGGAGTTCCTATGAATCATTGGATTGGTTTAAGGGAGAACCTATAGGAACTCCCTTGTAATTGGTGGTAACAGCCACGGGTTTCCGGTGAAGATGTCCCATAAAAACCAACCCATTGGTTCATCTATTCAATCTAATTATTCCATTCATATTATTGGATCTATATATATCCGTTAAAGATTCCATCAAAATCCCATTGATATCATGAAATCCCATGATGCTTCACCTGATTTTTTCACTGTTTACCCTTTAGCCGTAGCCATGACAGTTGCCAGGTCTACAAGTGTGTGGACATGCAGGGCACCGAGCGTGCTGTGAAGCAAGTCTTCACCGCGAACCCCGAAATCTTGGATACAGAGATCGAGATTCACAGGCCGGGCTGGGCACATTTTTTCGGCCATGTGGTCACTAAAGGGGTTGGTCCCCAATTTTATGGAAGCCCCAAAAATGATGGAACGGTAATGAGTCCGCCAATGTTATGTCAGACTCAGATTTGACGTTTCTATCCTTTTTGATTCTTTTTTGGGTGTTTCCACCAAAATCAGAATCTGTTAATAGTATTGGGGTGGGGTAATTGCAGCATTCCCCCTGAACAGTTAGCCAACCACGTGGTTTATCCTAATAGGTCGCTGGGTGATTCGGGTAGTTGGGTTTGATCTAGCATTTCGTCAGGATATCGGTGTGGGAGTGTCTGTATGTGTCTGTAAAGAGGTGCAAAATCACTCAGTAGCCCATTGGACTTGCATAAAAGATTCATTCTGCTTCTGCAAACGACCTGCCGCCTTTCAACAACTCAACAGCAATTGCGGATACGTGATATTTATAGATATATTTAGATAGGTATGTTTGGTATAGTTATAGATAGGTGAGCTTCCAAATGCCACAACTTTGCAGGATGTTGTAACTTGGGAAGTATCCAGGCATCTTGGTCAACACCCGAACATTGTGCAGCTGATTGATGTGTATGACAACGAGGGTGGCGTATCTTGGCTTCGGTCTAAAGGGCTTCGAAAAAGATTCAGATCCCTCAGGTGACCCAAAAACGTATAATAGACAGATTGATAGTTGATAGTCTTGGTGTTTGAAGTTGGGACTCGTTTTGAAAGTGCAACTGGCGTTTTCTGGTCCATGTTGTTACTGGATGAATCTGAAACATCTCAGAACTTCCAAGAACTTTTAAGAACATACATTGTATTCCTCTGTTCCTCGGGCTGTCATTTCTGTTTGGTGTGCGACCATTGTGTGAGTTTTCTTGAGGACAAACTGCCTATGTAACAGGCCTATGGTCTGCCCAAAAGAGTGAACCGTTTTCCCCCTGTCTATTCATTCAATTTGCCTGTTTCACCCTTGCAAGTAGCAATATGCATCTTGAACTTTCTATGTAGGACCCAAGTAGAAAGTCATCTAAACTTGAAACTTGGGATATGTTCTCTACGATTCTGCTGACTTTGATCATCCTATTGATCTACTGTTGACCTTCAGATACTTTTAGATTAGATCATATTGGGGATGGGTCAAAACCTATTATTGCCATATTATTACCATGGGGGAATAAACATCCATTAACATCCGTTAACCTTCTGCAAGGACTCCGGCAAGATGATAGTCATGGAGCTGGCCAAGGGTGGCGAGCTGGGGGAGTACCTGGAGAAGACTGGCAAGATGACCGAGGAGAAAGCCAAAGGCGCCCAGATTTTTCGGATTTTTTTGGGAAATTGGATGACATTGGCGGATTATTTTTTTGGATTCTAGTGCTCAGACAAGCTGAAGAGCTGGAAAAAAGGGTTTCGCTTTCTTTTGGGATTGGGGGTTTCCGGATATTTCGGGACGAGTGGCACCCACCAGGCATTTCTCTGGTCCTCTCTTGATATTCTCCTTGATGGGGTGCCTGTGTGAGACCTCCAGTTAAAAAAAACACATGAATTCACATGAACATCAGTTCTTCAGCCCAATTTTATATTGCAATGGAAGGACATGTTCAATTCTTGATGAGAAGACCTTTTTGAAATGCTTGAAGTGGGGTTTTCCATTCAAGGTCTCGGCCATGGGGCCATGGCCGAGGCATCTTCAAGCAAGTCCTGTCCGCTATCCAGCACATGCACTCCAAGAACGTACTTCATCGGGACCTGAAATCCGACAACATCCTGCCGCATGACGTGTTGGGATTGACGTTGGGATTGAGTGATGATTATGAATATCTGTGAAGTGCTCATCCCAATCTTGAAGCAGTACGTTAAACGGTGCACATCCCATCATCATTGATTTCTAGAAGGGTGGCTGTCACATAATTCCAGGTCCCTGGGCCCCGATGAAACAGTTCGTTCCAAGGTTGTGCACCGACTCAACACATGACATCAATCATCCTGCGCTTGGCCTGCAGCATCAGCAGGGTTTAAATTGGGGCTGGTGGTTGAAACATGAGAAGATGGCTGAAATTAGATGAACATGACCACGAGATGCTTTGAGAGAGGTGCATTTGGTGTCTAGCTGTGACATTTGCTTGTGCAACTAGAAAGGTGTAAACAGAATGAAACAGATGTAGAAAGTGCAATCTCATTGGCCATGTTGATTGGCTGATGTTTGCTGCTTGACGTTTGACGTTGAGAGATTTGAAGCTGGCTTCACAGCTTCGCACGTTGAGGTGGTGAAACTTATTGACTTTGGTGCTGGACATTGGTCAAAGACCGGACCATTGCAGGCAGCTGATATCTGCAGCTTTCTCCAAGGGCTTGGCTCACAGCAGAAAAATATCACACATCATCTCTCTTGATGTACTTAAAAAAATCTAGGAACACTTAAGAACATCTAAAAGCCATACATCCATAAACATAAAGATAAACATATAGATGAACATATAGATAAACATATAGATAATATAGATCAACATCTATATAAAATTATGTTTTTATACCATTATGCCATTTTCATATGGCTTTTTTGCCATCCTTGGCATTTTTCCCATTTTTTCCCCCTGGCGCAGGCGAGCAAATTCATCGGCACCCTGCAGTATATGGCGCCCGAGGTGGTCATCGCCCGGGGAGACGACTTCGACGCCTCCGATGCCGCGCAGGTGGAACGTTCGGGTCACTGGGTCGGCCTGGGCGGCCTGGGGGTGGCTGAAGGAAAATCGTTAGGAAGATCGATGGATTCCTGGATTTTTCCTGGAAAATCATAAATCATTGAGTTTGGAATCAATATTTCGGTCAATTTCATTCAATGTCATTCTTGGCAGAGTCAATTTCTACTTGTGAAGTGTGAAGTGTCAGCATCTGCTGTAATTTTTGGGAAAGAACAGTTCTGAAGTGTTTGGATTTTTCAGGTTGGCCAAAGGCTGTGGAGAGGATGCTTCGTATGTTCTGGCCCATCTCGACTTGGAAGCATTGAAAGACCTTTAGAAGCTGCGTTGGGCTCTGACGTGGTCAGCCCCCCATTCCAACCCAAGCCCGTCTCTGACCTTGAAGTTTTCACACCTTGACAGATTGAGTCCACGCTGGAGATTGAGTTCAAGCTCCTTGGTGAGCAAAAGTGGTGCGAAACCAGCAAAACCAAAGCCTTTCACATCTTCAACTCATCAGCCTGTGATTAAAATTGGATGACTGGAGCCCTGAAGAGAACATGGTACTTTGGGACGTGGCAGTTCGATGCAGCAAGCGCCATTTCATGTCTCAACTTTCAACAGTTAAGAAGTAGCTCCTGATACTGAAAATAGGGTACTCTAACCCAAAAACTGATGCTTTATCAATCTTTCAGCCACTTGGGGGTATGCCCCATTTTTGGAAACACAGCCCCTTGGATCATTGGATCGACAGGAAGCGACCCTTCGGCATCCGGAAGTACAAGCCAGGCGCAGAGTGTAGAGCTGTGGATGTCGCCCCAATGGATCAATTGCCACGTTGACATCGCTTGACCTTGGGCAAGATGTTGCTTAACTAAAAAAAAACGACTTCCGTCCCATGAAGGTTTCACTTTGTTTCCCCAGCCATGGACTCTCCATGGATTGAATGGCCAGAAGATATTAACATTTCGATTAACGTCATCAGTCACGGATCGAAATAGGTAAAATAGGTACACTGGCTGCTGGCGTCCACTGAGTCCACTGGTTAAACATCGTTCTTTGATGTTTTTTTTTTTTTAATCCTACATGATAGATTAACGCTGTAGAGTTACATGCACACACAATCAGACACACATAATTATTGATTATAAACAATATATATATATATGTAGTCATGCATTTATATATATCAGTGTATGTCTTTTCTCCGAAACGCTTGTGAAGCTCCCCGCCTGTCAGTGGTGGTGCCCGGCCGTCTGGAACCGGCGAGGTCCCAACAACAAGGGTGCGCGCATTCTGGAGGTGATCCAGCAGAGCAGGCACAAGAAGATGATCTGGGGATGGATCAATACCTATACATACCATTTTTAGTGGGATGAACATCCATTTACCAACTATTTTGATGTTCACCAGGGGTACAAGGTTTTGACACACTGCCATCTAAGAAAATCAGAGAGATGAGTTGGTCTAAAAATATAGAATGTACCCCAACAATGCCCAAAATGAATTGATTTTCATGGGAATGTTATTGATCAACAATTGGATCTTATTGTGCCCTATTCAAACCATGTTGTTTTTTTTTCCGGTTCTTGTTCATGGCTGAGCAGGGGAAGTAACAGGATTTTCTAGCGGATTATTATAGTTGTTGCATGAAAGGGAGGAATGCTAGAAGCACCGGGAAATAAATGATCTAGAGTGTGGCGGTTGACAGCACAAAAGAAAGAAGATCTGATCAGTAATTTCTCAAAAGGCATGTTTCATCATTTTCGTTTTTTGCTCAGAAAGATGTAATGCAAAACTATGGGCTAATAGGATGTGGTGACGATGATGATGACGACGACGACGATGATGATGAGGGGATGGCGATGAAGATGATCCTGATGCCGATGGTGATGATGGTGATACTGCTGCTGATGATGAAGAATAAGAAGAACTATGTCCACCGGCCAATGGATGTCGGGAAAAAAACCATTTTGACACCCCAGTTTTCACATCCCAGAGTTGGATGAAGGAAACATACATGCCATGACGTGACGCCACGTGACACGTCACAAAAAACACCACAAATGCTACACTTTCAGAGGGGGGAAGTGCAATATACGAAAATATGTTCAGTTTGCAAGACATTGGTTTTAATGGTTGATATGGATTGATATGGTTGATATTTAGTATCTAAATTACTAATCCGCCCTGGCCCATCCTGGCAGCCACTGGCAGTCAGGTATCCCGGAGATCCTCTGGGACAAGCTTTCGTGTCGGGTGTGCAGAATGAATGGGTCGTGAAATCTGTCACTTGCCGCAGGGTGTGGTTTCAAAGGTGAGGAGGAGCCCTGAAAAAGGATGAGAAACAGAAGGGGAAATCATGAGAAATCAAATTGCCATTTGAAATCCACTGAAATCCAATAATTCATGTGGTTTACTATTATGGTTTCTTATTTTTTTTAAATGAAGAAATGGTTACAGTAGATATGAATGAATTCAGACCATAGACAATAGTGATATGGATTGACATGGATTAGTAGTAAATCATATGGTTGGAGCGCAGTACACATTCCATAGGTAATGGGGGATGTCGGTTCATAATATGGACTAGTGATTAGTATGGGTAATAATATGGAGAGCCAGGAATGCATATGAAATCCTAAAGTCCTAAAATTTGAATTCATACAAAATCATTAGCAAAACCAGTCTGGTGTCTCTTTGGTCTTCATTTCAATCCTGCATCACTGCGGGCCTTATACTCAAAAATAGCTTGGAATTTTCAATCGGTACGGCTTTTGGTGAAACCACGGTTTTCAATCGGTAATTCATCTATAAATGTACCATTTTCCAGAGCTTTGCGAAATGACGGTGATATATATATATATTGTACTTATAAATAACATAACCTATATCTCGCAGAGCATAGTTTTTTAAAGTTTCAATGATGTTGAACCTCAGGAGGGACGGATTTGAAAAAAAATGACCATTCCCAACATGACTGGAATTGGGCTAGTAGTTTTTTCTGAAAAGTGACCCAAAAAACAGCTTGGTTTGAAGCAATGACCATGATTATTATTAATTATTTCCATCCTTAGCTATAGACAAAACTTGTGCGTATATTCCAACCGAAAGATTTTCTTGTTCATTCAGTGGCCTGGGGAAGCACCAGCCAGCAAAGAGACTTGTGCGAAGAGCCTAAGGTGAATGGCCGGGATGTTAGCCAGATGGACTTTGAGGTGGGTTGCTGGCAGCATGCCCTCTCGGTTTCAAACAACTGCATTGAAGTTGCTTAGCTACCGCAAAAAAAGGAGTATGCCTCGAAGTTCTATTTTGCATTAGCTTCTTGTATCCTGCGGTTGTATGCTTTTGTCAGATCTTTTGTCTAGGATAGGAGTCTTGGGAGGCCCAATCCAACTGTTGTTTCTGCTTATTAACAGTATTTGATAGTATGTGTTTATCATTTTTAATCTATTTTGCAGGAGTGTTGAGAGCGATGAATTCCTGATAGTGGGGCCAACTGGCTACGAACAACGTCATTTTAAAACCCCTTCCTGATCCTTCCTGGGTGTTTCTTCAACTAGGAACGCTGAGTGCAATCAAACAAAAATGATGCGAATTCAATTTTGTGCATGTGTCATATGATTCATATGATGTATATCAAGCTCGTTTGTTTTGGGAATCTTCTTTGTTTTTCCTAGCTGAAAAAAATCAAGGAATTGCCGCGCTTTTTGCAACGCGCCCCACCACGTCCAGGACATCCTGGACTTGATGGGCGATCGATTGCTGGACAACAGTTCCAGAGGAGCTTTCGATGGATCTTTCAAAGTCACAGGCGACAACAAGGGCAACTCGGTTTTGGCAGATATGGCCACTGAAAAATCTGATTTTCGCCATGGTGCTGTGATTTTTTTGTAAAAAAACACCTGGCAACTGGGAAACAGATTGCAAAGATGAGTTCCCCGGATAAAATTTTGGGATGCGTTATAAACAATGCTTAATATGGGCAGTTGAAGTTTTCTTTCCTGGAAGCACCCACGGCCTTTGGACAAGTCCATTCCCCAGGTGTATGGTGTGTATATCTTAAAGCATACATTCAATAGTCACATATCAACACACCCATTTGGAGGTTTGACGACGGAGTGACTCGTTGAGGGGTTGCATTAGGATGTTTTAGGATGGGTGATGGATGGATGGCACAACCACCAACCAAAGTTCGGTTTCAAGAGAAACTTGCTGCAAACGTTTTCGGTTTACAATGTCTTCCCTAAAATCCGCATGCCAGATCACCCCAAATCCTAAAGGTTGTTGCTACTTATGCTCTACATCTACTCCTCCACCATGATGACAGAACCAAACAAGTGTGAGTTTTTAGTCTTCATGATAGTACTTACTGTATGTGGGTGGTTTAGGCTCTAGGTGGGAAAGACCCAGCAATTCGACTCGGCCTTGGAGAGGCACTCCACCCAGGTCAAGGAAAGGTGCTTCCGAAGGTGGAAATGGTGGACCTGCCAGTGAAAGTGTCGTGGGGCCCAAGGAGAGAAATCGGGTCCCCCTTGGTGGAGTCCTGTGGCCATCACCTGGAATTGATACCCTCTGGTAAACTAACATAACTATGGAACATCACCATTTTTAATGGGAAAATCCACTATAAATAGCCATTTTCAATAGCTATGTTAAATTACCAGAGGGTAATGATGCAGTCTGAAATTTTGGGGTTGTAAGAACACTCCCGCAGGATGCTCATACCAAAACATACCAAAACCTTCCAGTGAGAGGAGACTGCCCCGCCTCCCATGCCTAGGCAGTATGCTTTGATGAAACCCAAGCCTTACGATTCGAAGGCATCGAAACTGTGAGAAAGTCCTGGGGTTCTCTTGGGTTCTCTTGGGTTCTCTTGGGTTCTCTTGGGTTCTCTTGGGTTCTCTTGGGTTCTCTTGGGTTCTCTTGGGTTCTCGTGGTACCTACTCGTATCTGATGGCTATGGGCCGGTCAAAAGTAAAGACTCAGGGAGGCACGGAGTTTGTCATTGTCTGGCGTTGCACCATCAAATTTGGAGGATGTGCCCAGTTGTCACTGTTGGCAATTCTCACTCACTCATCCAGCCTTTGACCCCGGAGAGCATGGTTCAGAATCCCAAAATCACATCAATCTGCTGGTTAAAAACAGCAGGTTGTTAAGCAACACGTCCAGATACAAAGTATATGTATGGCCTTGGCCCTCAACGTGCCTTTAATTCTATATAATTCAACAATCCATAGAATTCCATACAAAGATTGCCAACAAAATCCACTGGATTTTGCGAATCTGGGAGTTTAACAACCCACCGTCTTGATGGGATTTCTGGATCAACGAGATCTTCATCCCATGGTCATCCCTCAGATGGTGTCGCCGCCTACACGGGACAGGTGGATGTTTGGAGCCTGGGATGTGTGCTTTATCACATGGTGGCGGGCACCCCTCCTTTCCCTCCTGAGGAGGCAGGAGGGAGGCACCCAGGGTGCGGTGCGATTTTCGAAAACCAGCATGGCTACCATGGATGGCCAGGGGCTCATGAGGAATGATGGATCATGGGCAAATTATCGTATATAATATCTCAGATAATATGTAATATGATAGTAATTAGATTATAGATTAATTGTAGATTATAGTAATATGACAGTAATTATAGTGACCTCATTGTGACCGCACCCTGGAATCATGGTTAGGATTCGGGGAATCAGCCCCTGGTGTGGTCTGATTTCAGGTTAGTGACTAGTGATATATATATATGTATATATTATTATATTGAAATCCATATTGTAATGTACCTAGATCAATTCTTGAAGGATATTTTGAGATACGTTTTTTGGGATGTTTTTGGCACCTTTGAAAGGTGGAAACCCTAAAAATTGTTGAGAGATCCCACTATTCAGATATTGAAGTCTAGTGCATGGTTCAAGCGGGACGGAAAACCCGGATTCCAGGAACCTAGAAGTTGCAGTAGAGAAGGCGACATGCCAATATTTTGCTTCGGAAAAATCACCTGTTTTCGATGTTCCAATGTGATTGGGTGGGCCCCTCTCCTTTGATGGCCTCGACTGATGGGCGCCGGCTGTGTCGCAGGAGGATGTGATGGCTGGTAGATATCCACCCATCCCTGGCGCATCGCCGCAGCTGACGGACCTGCTCAGCAAGATGTTGCCCGGCATGGGATTTGGGCCGGGTCACTTTATCAACTAACAAGCATACTGTGTGCAGCATATGCAATATATGTCTTGCATTGTCGTGTACTCTATCGGAGTGGCAGTCATAATGGAACAGGTGTTTGGTGAGCGGTTGTATGGTTCGCAAGCTTGCAAGCGGATGGGTGGTTCATTCTTCGGTATTTGAATTTGACAGCATAGACCAATATAGACCGAGTGGATCCGAGTGGAAAAGTATGTACAAATAGTGGGGCTCTCCTTTACGATAGCTAAGTTGGTGAACATAGCTCCAATAACTATACTCTATGATACTTTTCACTATAGTATTCATGGGGTTATAAATCAACAAACAAAATTGGGTTTGTCCACGCATTGCATGTTTATCTGATCAGCTGGAATCATGTGCACTTTTCAGGCGGATACTTCGCCCACGATATTTAAGTACAGGTACCGCACGTGTTTGCAATCTATATCTAAATCTATAATTACCCATAGTTCTACATCTGCCTCTAACATCGATATATATATATTAACATTCAAATTACACAATATCACACACGCACACACACACATAATCGAAGGAAGTTTAGAAGTCAAACTTCAGACAATATTGACAGAAAAAAGCAGAGATGGGCAGAGTCAGAGAAGAGAAGAGAAGAGAAGAAGAAAGAAGATCAAAAAGAGAAAGTCTCTGAAGAAATAAGATCCAGGTGCGCGAAAAGGTAGGAAAGTCGCGAAACACTCTGTTTTTCCAATGATTTGTGGCTCCGCAGGGTCGAACAGTAGACTCGCTAAAGCGGCGGGTGCGGAGCCAGCTGGCCAGATGAGAGATGAAAAATTGCACGCTGTTGTGGCGCGAAGCACATTTCCAAGTCAAAATGTACAAAACACTGCAGCCTCGGAGCACTTTTGGAAGTTGAGATGTCGAAAAAGTGCACGCTGTTGTGGCGCGAAGCACATTTCGAAGTAAACATGTTAAAAACACTACATGCGCGGACCACTTTTTGACGTTTAGATGTCGTTTCGTGTGGCAGGCGCGATTGCGCACCTTGTCAAAAGTGAGCAAAAAGGGTGTTTTGTAGCATTTCCAAAAACGATGGCAGGCGTGGAACATGTGAAGAGGATCTGCAAAGATGCGTGTTCCGTGGCAGGCGCAATACAAGAGACATGTTCATCAGAGCTGTTAGGAGGTCCGGGCGCTGATTTCCTGAGAATCTGAGAGGGGTTGCATTTTGGAGCATCAGATCTTCAGGTTTGCTGAGATGATTTTGCGTGATGGGTGCAGCACTTCGTATGACCTGGCATCACTTTTTCGTGGCAGGTGCAGTACTTTAGACAGGTGGAGTGGAAAAATCGCAAAACGCATTAGATCGCATTAGTACGACGAGGCCGTCAGCTCTGCACTCAACTTTCCATTTTTGAAGGAAGTCTCGCAGAATTGTTTCGTTTTTGATGTTGTCAACTTCGAAAATTGAGGAAGTATCGCAGAATTGCTTCGTTTGACGTTGTCAAGTTCAAAAAGTGAGGACGTCTCGCAGAATTGCTTCGTTTTTGACGTTGTCAAGTTCAAAAACTGAGGACGTCTCGCAGAATAGCTTCGTTTTCAAGCTTGCAGATAGACAGATAGATAGATAGATAGACAGACAGACAGAGAGAGAGAGAGAGAGATAGATAGATAGATAGATAGATACATTAGATAGATAGATAGATTAGTTAGATTAGATTAGATTAGATTAGATTCTTCAGATAAATTAGATAAATTAGATACGGTAGATAGATAGATAGATTGATAGATAGATAGATAGATACGGTAGATAGACAGACGACAACAACAACAGTGGTGATTGAGCACGTGAACATAATCGAGCATAGTGTAAAATTTGAAAACTTGAAAACATATCATGTCTGCTCATGTCCCCTAGAGTTATTTCAATATTTCCTTCACCAACTGAGTGACAGTATAGCCACAGAAAATGATTTCAGAGGAAGAATTTCACGCATAAGGGAATCCCAACGGAAAGTGTGCGATTTGATCTGGGATATACAACGCAAATCTGTCCGATTAGATTTTTTTTGGTGCCATACGACAGGGACGATTGTTTATTTGGTTGTTGAATGGTATCTTGTAACGAAGGGATTGTTGGGGTCGACCAAAGGATTGAAGTCATTTTTCAAGTTGGTAAATGAATAGAATGTTTGCCGAAGGAAGTTTAGAAGTCAAACTTCCGACAATATGGACAGATGAAAAGCAGAGATGGGAAGAGTCAGAGAAGAGAAGGGAAGAAGAAAGAAGATCAAAAAAGAGAAAGTCTCTGAAGAAATAAGATCCAGGTGCGCGAAAAGGTAGGAAAGTCGCGAAACACTGTGTTTTTTCCAGCGATTTGTGGCTCTGGAGGGTCGAAAAGTGGGCTCGCTAAAGCGGCGGGGTACGGAGCCATTTGGTCATGAAAAGTTGCACGCCCTCTTGTGGCGCGAAGCATATATGCAAGTGAAAAAGCTAAAAGCACTTCACGTTTGGAGCGCTTTTCGAAGTTGCGATGTCGAAAAAGTTCACCCCGTTGTGGCGCGAAGCACATTTGCAAGTGAAAAAGCTAAAAAAACAGCACGTTCGGAGCACTTTTCGAAGTTGCCACATCATGTTCGGAGCACTTTTGGAAGTTGAGATGTCGAAAAAGTGCACGCTGTTGTGGCGCGAAGCACATTTCGAAGTAAACATGTTAAAAACACTACATGCGCGGACCACTTTTTGACGTTTAGATGTCGTTTCGCGTGGCAGGCGCGATTGCGCACCTTGTCAAAAGTGAGCAAAAAGGGTGTTTTGTAGCATTTCCAAAAACGATGGCAGGCGTGGAACATGTGAAGAGGATCTGCAAAGATGCGGTTTCTGTGGCGGGCGCAGTATCATCATCAGAGATGTCAGGAGGTCAGGGCGCTGATTTCCTGAGAGGGGTTGCATTTTGGAGCATCAGATCTTCAGGTTTGCTGAGATGATTTTGCGTGATGGGTGCAGCACTTCGCATGACCTGGCATCACTTTTTCGTGGCAGGTGCAGTACTTTAGACAGGTGGAGTGGAAAAATCGCAAAACGCATTAGATCGCATTAGTACGACGAGGCCGTCAGCTCTGCACTCAACTTTCCATTTTTGAAGGAAGTCTCGCAGAATTGTTTCGTTTTTGATGTTGTCAACTTCGAAAATTGAGGAAGTCTCGCAGAATTGCTTCGTTTTTGACGTTGTCAAGTTCAAAAATTGAGGACGTCTCGCAGAATTGCTGCATTTTTGATGTTGTCAAGTTCAAAAACTGAGGAAGTCTCGCAGAATAGCTTCGTTTTCAAGCTTGCAGATAGGTAGATAGATAGATAGATAGACAGACAGACAGAGAGATAGATAGACAGACAACTGCAACTACAACAACCACTACCACTACCACTACCACTACACTACACTAACTACTACTACTACTACAACTACTACAACTACAAATACAAATAAACTACGCTACATTACACTACACTAATTACGCTATACTACACTACACTAAACTAATTACATGTAATTACACTACACTACACTAATTACACTACAACTACAACAGCTACTACTACCACAGCTACAACAACAAGGTCAACTACACCACATTACCTACACTGCACTAATTACACTGCAGTACGCTACAACTACAACTACAACTGCAACTACAATTGTAACTACAACTAAATTGCACCACGCGACGCTACACCAATTACACTACACCACACTACAACTACAACTAAACTACCTTACGCTACACTAGACTACACTAGACTACACTACACTATACCACACTACAGTACACTACACTACAGTACATTACAATACAGTACACTACAATACACTACACTAACTACACCACACCACAACTACAACTACAACTGCAACTGCAAGTATACTACACTTTTTAAATTACACATTACAACTACAACTCCGCTACACCACACTTCAACTACAACTACAACTGCACTACACCACACTTCATCCAGCAGTTGTGTGTGAGGTGACCACTGCAACCATTGCAACCACTCCAAGAAAAACCTCAACCACCTTTCGGTCCCTCAGTGGATTCGCCCTGCCATCCGAGATTCACAACAGCCAACCTCTCCTATAGGTTTCGTATTTTTGAAACTTCCGCCACCGCCTTGTGCTGTACTACTGGTGTATATATATATATACTGGTTGGTGGTTTGCATTTTTTTTATTATTCCATATATTGGGAATTTCATCATCCCAACTGGCCATATAATATTTTTGAGAGGGTTGAAACCACCAACCAATATATATATATATATAGGGTTAAATAGATATGTGTAGAGCGTATCATAGATAGTGTTTAACTACTATATATTTTTATATATTTATATTTAATGAATATAATAAATATAAATATATATATATTTATATATATATACATATATATACATATAAATACATATATATATATATATATATATGTATCATAGAAAGTGTTATGCTACTCTGCGCCAAGGCTCGTGGTGAACCCGGCGGCACGCCTGGATGCCAACGCCGTGGCGGCGCATCCCTGGTTGAGATGACCAAGGTGGGACATGGTGGGACTGGGCCGGACTGGGACTTCAGCAGAAACATGGTGGATTCATATGGATATTTAGATACCATTTAGATACTTAATATGATTACCCTCTGGTAAACTAACATAACTATGGAAAATCACCATCTTTAATGGGAAAATCCACTATTTCAATGGCCATTTTCAATAGCTATGTTAAATTACCAGAGGGTATGCTGATATATGGATATGGATCAATTATATCCTTTATATCCTTTAGGGTGGGATATGGATTAATACTGGATAACTAATATATTTATATATCCCGGCTTACTCATATGGATTAATAGGGACAACTGATGTATTAAAATGTTGATAACTTGAATTAACATGGATTAATATGGATTGGTGGGATATACTTTGATATACTAACTGATATAATCAGAATGATCTGCTTGAGATTTTAGTGCACATTACCTTTTATTGTTTGCAGATGGACGTCCCTTTTGAAGCAGGGCCACTACCAGGACCTCGCAGAGAAAGGTCGGAGGTGAAAACCAGCTTCAGAAGAACCCGTCGCATTTTCTTGCCTCAACAACTGCGGTAAGTTATAAATATATGTATATATATATATATTTATACACACACACACGTCACACACACACATATATATATATATATATTCAATCTCCATGATCCAAATTCAATATTGTTTAGCCGTTAGCCACCCAACATGGGGAAAAATGAGGACTTACTGAACTAGTTGAAGTACGGGGAAAGATGGACGAATCCCATCCCCTGTTCATATCAAAAGTTTCCCAGAAACAATGGTGAACCCAGTGAGAACAGGGATGTAGGGGGTTTTAAACCGATTTAAACAGCACCTTATGGGGGTTTTCTGGGTTATCAACCCGCTAATTGCCGTTTTCTTGAGGTATATTATGGGATGTGACAAAATCCAAGGCCATAAATTGTCCCCGAGTTTGCCAGACATGAATTGTTAAACATGTTCCTAAGTGAATTAGTGCATTGCCTCTACCATATATAGAGCACTCTGGAAAAACAATGAAACACATCTTTCAGTTGGCTGGGATACATGTTCTACCCTTCATCCACCGATGATCAAATAATATACTAGTAGTTGTTTGTTGTTGAGACTTGTATGGAAATACCAATAGATTTCAAGTGCTGTGCTTGGCAAATACTGATGCGTTTGGTATGCTTTGACGCAATATGTTTACTGTATATATATAATATACATGTTACATAATTATCTCCCATGTGCTTTGATATTTTTGTTTAACCTGGATATGATTTGATATACATGTTTACCTTTCGGTAGTCAAACATGGCTGGCTGGGAAAATAATTGAACATTATCGAGCTATGTGTTTTTTTTTCCATTGCCATGTTTGATTGCTCTTATCAGTTTTGAAACCGTTTGATGACTGCCATGCCAGGAAGCCTTTGCCGCAAGGCGTCATGTGAGAGTTAACAGGAGGGGCCCAGAGCGGCAGTGGACCCAGCACATTCGAAGTAGTTTGACATCTGCATCAGCATTTTGTACTGATGTGTCATAATGTCCTTGCTTTTGGATGTAATTCAAGATTCATCAACATTTGGTGAGTGCTCTGCACCAGCGAATTTTTGGTGCTGGCCACTGAAAGTTCTGGGTTTGTTAGCGATGAAAGCTTGAAAAGCGTCGCTGGCGTGTTTGAAAATTCGAAGTTTTTCCACTCAGAAGCTCGCGCTTTTTGTGCCGGGGAAGCCCGGCCAGAATTTTCCTGGCTGGCCGCAGCAAAGCACCTGGAGAATGACCACGGCACCTCAATTCCCTTCCATAGCTTCACTGCTGGCTCACATGCATGAAAAACTTAACGAGAGCTTGGAAGATGATAGTGTTGGATATAGGCACTTGTTTGGGGGCTCACCCTTATGCCAGAGTGCTGTTTTCAAGGCCAGGCTGGAGTGCATGGTGTCCGAAGCTACCAGTTTTCGGACGCACCCTATACCCATCACCGCGCCTCTAATTTTCTATGAAAAAGATCGCTGAGATTCCAGTGGTTGGCACATAAATGTTCCGTTTTGGAGATCTTAACATCACTTTTTGTGGTCTGGTTATTTCTGGTTGTTGGAGATCATTTCTCAAATTTTGGGGTGATGTTTATATAATTGGTACATTTCACCAGCGCTTGAGATCCCCTAGTTTTTGGTGTCCCGGTTGCAGTTGGAATGGGATTGCATTGGATCAGCATCTTAGAAGGTGTGGATGCACAATAACCATGAAGTGAAGAGCTTACATAATCCACCCCTGAAATATTGCAGTCAAAAGTTGGCCGTCGACCGGCACACTTGCAACTAAAGTGGCCTTTGCTGCGGACTTTGGGAGTGATTTGGCCAAGGACACTGATACCTTTCAGCACCTCTACTTGGGTGTTGGCGCGCTGGGCTTGTCGTTGATTTTCCATCCGAACTTGCTCCTCGGCATGGTTCTAACTGCAGGGGCTATATTCTTCGCGAGTGGAGACGCAAGACACACCAAACTCACCTACACTCGTTTGCAGTATTTTCATTCAATTTTCATGTATTTTCCAGAGCAAGATTTGCTTGACCCAAAGTTTGGGATCTTACATGATACTCAGCTACCCTTTTGAAAAAAAAAAGTTCTCCAGTTCGCTCGCAGCGTGTTTTCCATCCCCAAGTCATCACCCACGACTTGTGGCTGCGATTTCAACCAGCCCCAAATTGTGGCTCTGTTAGTGGCTCTGTTATTGGGTGAACCCCACAAAAAACATCCCCAAAATCGACCATTTTACAGATGATTTCCAGCGTTAACACATTTAACACCTCCTTTTTATACGGGATAAAGTATCCCCCAAATCACCGGAAATAGGTGGTATCAACAGTGATAAACAATTCCCAAATGGATGGTTTATTCCAAAGTTTTGCCCACAGGAATGGCTTTTTGCCCTCGGACATCGGATGGGCCTTCGCCCTCTACCTGGAAGCTCGGCACGGCTGCGGCGCTACGAGGGATGGCCACTGGCTGGCGTTGTATGCTGTTAATTATAATGGGGGTCCCTAAATTATAAAGCCTATAGCCTATATATGCTTATATTATTAGATATATTGTATGCCAATGTAGGATAAAAATGGGAATATACACCAACATATGGATATATATATATATACATATTTTTTTTAAGCCACCATCATTTGGGTTTGTCTGACAATGCTGGAGGAAAACCAATACACAAATCCAGGGGGAACACCAGTTGATAATGATTTTCCATGTGAGACTTGCGGGTTTGAAGGGTATGTCCCATTTTCAGACACATCCAATGGATAGTGAAGGTGGTATTTGGACCATTAAAAAAACATTTAAAAAAACCATTTGCATAACATCAAGTTGTGTTGGTCCTGGTAGTGCTTTAAAATGTGAGCTGGGTGAATATCCCAAGGCCCCAAGGCTTGATATCCTTGGTTTTGATGTTTTGTTGGGCTTTTACGTGTGGCTGTCACCGTCCTGATTTGCCGCTGGTTTGCAGCTAAAAAGAGATAAAGGAGACCACTGTCCAAAGGAGAAGTGCTTTTCACCATTGACATGGAAAAAAGGGATCTAATGCTGGTATGGCCACATGTCCTAACAAGGGGAAGATGACTTCCACCCCAGTGGAAGTGGCCAAAGGAATCAGTGGCCGTGCTGTGCCAGCTCTATATGTTCATGAAGGAGGGACGCGCTCAAGAGTGCCCTGGCGGCACTCATATTTCCCAATGTATAGTATATATATATATAACATGTGTCAGTAGTTTTTAATTTCTTCGATGGGCGACCTGAAATAAACCGGAAAACATGCTGATCTTTAGGTGATGTGCCTTTCGAACATACGCCATTTCCGCCAGGTGATGGTTGTTTCAAACAGGGATTCTTCGGAGGATTTTCATGAGGTTATTTTCCTCGGGGTACCCGGGAGCTGAGTGACTGAAATCACCAAATCCTTGCTGTTCAGCATTTTGATTCGGGGGCAAGTGCATGGCACTCAACCTTTCCCGCAGGTTCACATCGCACTTCCTGGCCGCTCAGGCGGATGCAGCAAACGTCAAGTGCAGTGCATTGCTGTGGCTTCAAAGTTTTGCTAGATTTGGCCCCCATCTCTGAAGTATGACCACATATATCCACATATGATCGCAATTCAGACAATCAAAAACACATCAACATACTATATCGACAATCATACGATAATCTAGATACTGTAGAATGATAAAACTAGGAGTGGGGATCCACTGCCATGTTACCGGTGCCTTTCCCATCATCCGGCAGCCCCCTGGCGACAGGCGATGGCCAAGGTGATGTCCTTCATTTTTTGGGCCTCGTCCTTCAGCGAATTGTCGGATCCCAATCACCACATCAAGGCCGCCGCCGCCGCTGCTGGGTTGCTGGGAAAACCACCTGAGAAGTGCTGAGGTCGGAGGATCGTGTCAGTTGCATGACGTGAGACCTATGAGATCAGAAAAGCTAACAAGCAAACAGCAAACAGACACACGCACACACACAAACAAGTGTTTATAAAATTATATATATATGTTTATGCAGACCCAGTGTCATGATATGTCATGATGTTGAGTTCAGAAAGTGGCTCCAGCCATCTCCAATCTGATCTCCTGGCTTCGAAGGCCTTTGTGGGCAATTGGGTGGTGTGCGCCCAGCTGATTCAGCTACTGATCATGGGGGACCGGGCTTGGGGAACCGGGAACCAGACCATGTTCGACAATCTTTCTACATCTTTCTAAAGTGCTTCGTGGTTTCATTTCCTGCAAACCAGACTAAGTTCTTTCCCATCCTACCTGACAGAGCCCAAATGGTGGCCTAGCTGCCTAGCTTCAGGACTTCATCTACCACTACATGCGTTGCATTCAGAAAGGCCTGGCCGGGGCTCTGCCATCACAATTCAGGTCCAGGTTTAAAGCTATGCATCCCAGGGCGTCATGGTGTATGACCTGTACCAAAAAAATCAACATTTACTATAGGTGAACCCCATGATTATGAAGTGTACTTACTTCCCAGATTTTGCTGATGGGAAAATCTGCAGGAAACCCCTACATTTGGTGGTAAAAACTGCAGATTTTCCCTTACACCAATTACCCCTTCTGGAGTGCACGCCCAAGGGTCGCCAATGCGGCAGGCATTCCTGTTTCGCAGCTGTTAGTCTCTGATAATGTCTGAGGGACATTGTCCTGCCTCAGGCTGAATCTGTTTCAGACGACTTCAGTGGAAATACCAGGAAAGAAGTGGACATCACAACAGCAGGTAACTCAGCATGTCTAATCTTATCCCCCCGATATCAAATACCCTCTATAATTTCAGCAATAAACCGGGTTTAAAGGGATTCCATGGAATACTCAGAACTTTGTACCACTTGTATCTGAAAGGGTCCTCAGATTCGCTTGTTTTACATGTGTCCCTTGAACTCTATACATTGAAGTTTCCTAAAATGGGCTTACCCCAAATCATCCTTTTAAATAGGATTTTCCATTAAACATCCAGCGATTGGGGTAGCCCATTGTAGGAAGCCTCCAAATGAACGAAGAAAGGTGGCTAGTTTGGTTTAATGTACCAGGCTTGAAGGAGATGTTGTCCTTGATCTGCTTGTGGCAGAACATACTTTGCGGCGTGAATGCTCAGTTAGCTGCCCCTGCAGTGGCTACCAAGAAGAATGACAACACCCGAGTCATTGGGCTTGTATTGCCCAATTTTACGCAAATAAAGAGCCAATATATTTCAATAAATTTCAATATATTTCAATATATATTGAGGATTATCATTATCATAGTCCATGAGCTGGTGACGCATGTCAACCAGTATGAAGGGATGATCAACTGAACCTATAGACACATGAACAATTGGTTGGGACGACGCCTCAGCAGTATCCCGGATGCCTGCGCGGCCATCTGCTGGCCGTGCCGGCGAGGTAGACGACCATAGTAGAAGGAGAGCAGGTTCTGGCAATTGATGTGGTGTTCGTTTCTCTGTTGTTGTTTTTGGATTTTGTTGTCCCTATAAGTATACAATTGTATACATATTCCGAATTTTATGACGTGTTGACATGTTGAAAGCAAAGGTTTTGGATAGTATTTGCCACACTGAAATCGTAGCATGTCTCTAAGACATACAATTTGGTACAAAATACCCTTTAAAAGGTCCAGATCAATTTTCCAATCAAGAATGTTGCAAAGTTCCAGGCAAAGATGGTTGAACTTTCCTAAGTAGTCAAGCTCAGAGTTCTCATTGTAATGTGCCACCCAATTTGTCTAAACCACAGGTTCACGAGAGGTGCAATGCCCCACATGGCCCGAGAGTTTGCGAGTTAGCTATTTGGGATCAGTGTTGACTGTTCCTTTCAGATACCAAGGATACTCGTACAATATGATCAGGATGACACACACACAATGCGTAAACCAGGTTTGTCCCAAAATATGGTACCACAAACCTGTATGGTCGATGTTGATGATCCTATCCCCTTTTAGAGAATGGCAAGT